CCAAGTTTTGATGTGTCCTATCCTATGTAATAAAATGCTAATATGCAAATTATCCCTCAGGAATTCGACCAGCCAGGAGTCTGACCACTCATTATGATGGGCAGTGACCACCTGGGGGCAGCGCAGAATGAAGAAAGGCCCTGGCCAGCAGCCAGCAACCAGGGAAAGGAAGGCCCCAATGGGCCCTGATCGCTGGCCAGGCCTAGGGACCCTACCCGTGCACTAATTTTGTGCAGTGGGCCTCTAGTGTATTATAACTCTATCCAATTTATTCTCCCACTTGTAACTGCTCAGTGCTTCCTTGCAATATATCAGGTGCACTGCAGACTCCTCATCATGGCATTAATAATCTCACAATCTCTTTCTCCAGACTAGGTTGGAATTTACCTCCTTAGTCCAATTAATTGATGCTTTCTTCAAGCCAACATTGAACTACCTGCCATTGCCTGCAAGTTCCATTAGCCTGTCTGCATCTGCTTTTTCCATTGGGAATGTCCCACATCCTTCCAGTCGATGCTCACTGGCCATGGCTTGGGATGAATTTAGCTTAATTAATGGTGATTAATAAATGGGTGTTCCAGGTGTCTTCCTGAAGCCATATAACAATTGAATATTTACTGGTAACCTTTTCCCTAAGATGCTATTTTAAAAGTTTTTGAAGGTCAAGAATGAAGTGGAAAATATTTTTCTTAAAATATGAGAAAATTCACTTGTTATACTTAGTTATGTTTTGGTATGGAATATTTGGTCAAGCAATGCACCTATACTAAGGGCATAATTATGCAACTGTACTAACTAAACCTTGATTTTATTTTGTTTTGTTTTGTTAATTCTCATGAAGGATTTTATTATTATTATTATTAATTTTTAGAGAGAGTAGGAGGGAGAGAGAGAGATAGAGAAAGAGATCAATGTGATAGAGACAATCGATTGGTTGCCTCCCTCACACACCCCAGCTGGGGCTGGGTACAGAACCTGTAACCCAGGTATGTGCATGGGCTGACACTCTAACCACTGAGCAACCCTGGACAGGGCTAAACCTTGATTTTTATTTTTTTTTAACATGGATAAATGGGGGTGGGCAAACCACCTTAATTCAGATACATTTCCATATTATTTTATCTGTCAACATATTATCCCTTTCTAATGTACTATGTTTTCTTTTTCAAGACCCCATGCTTTCTTTATCAGGAAACTTTGATGCCTGTTCCAGTTGGTTGAGCATGGGCCCATGCACTGAGGTCACCGGTTCAATTTCTAGTAGGGCACTTGCCTGAGGTTGCGGGCTCAGTCCCCATGAGAGAGTATGCAGAAGGCAGCCACTTGATGTTTCCTTCACTCATTGGGGATTCTCTCTCTCCCTCTCCCATACTCTTTCAAATTAAGCTTTTAAAATATCTAATAACAAAGAAAAGAAAAGAAACTTTGACATTTAGCAGAAGGACTCATCAGCCTTTGGGATTCCTGTACCATCTTTCCTATCCACAAATATTTACTTTATTCCTATTACAACCCAGGTATTCTGCTGGGAACAGGGTTTATCAAGATGCATAGAATGATCCCTGACTATAAGGACATACCATTCAATGGGAGAGGAAACTGTTATGCAACATACCATACTTCAGGTTCTTAAAATAAGAATAGAGTACTATACCATGGAAGAGGCAAAGAGTGAGGATTAAGGATCCCAAGATTGAGAGGATTCTTCCAGGGCAGAAAACCTTGCATCAGGGCCTTGGATGATGAGGGTGGGAAAGGCAGAAAGTGTGGCATGTTCAGAAATGGGGAGCTGTCCAATCTGGCTGGAGCACAGTGTATATGGGAGAAATGGAAGTAGTAGGAAATGAGACTGGAAGTGTAGCTGGGGGGCAGGAAGTGGGTGGGCTTAAAAATCAGGCCAAAAAGCTTGGGTTTCACCCAATATTTAAAGGAAAGACATCCAAGGTATTTTAAACATCAAAGTAAAATTTTGAGACTCGTGTTTTCAAAAAATAGCTTTGGTGGTATGATGAAGGGTATATTAGTGAGAAAGATGGAAACTAGAGATAAAATTAGGTTAACATTCTGAATGGACCCGAAGCCTTCTTATATTAACCTTAAGACATATTTGATACATTATTTTTGTAGCGTTATCTGTGCATATGCCTTTTCTATTAATAATGCTTTTTTAAAGTTGAACCTCCTACCTTAAACACTCAAGAATTCTGGAAAATTTGTGTATAGCAAGCTACTCAGTAGTTGTAGTCTTCTTTCTCTAATTCTTTCCAGATGTTAGAGCAAATAAGGCATTAACAAACATTAAAACACATGAACAATGTGTATATTTAAAATCCTAATAGTCATAGTTCATAGATACCACTTTGAGTTTATATGCTCTCTGTGCAATGCCAAGCATACACATTACCTCCCTTAATATTTTCAGTAAGTGTTATTGTTTATAGGTATTATGTTTTATGGGTATATGTTTTGTATGTTTGAGGTTGACAGTTTAACCTGCCCAGGATCACATAGTGAGGATGTCTTGATCCCTTCATGATAATCATCTTGGTCTTTTTCTGTACCCTGTGCTTGTTTCTTCACCAGAAAAAGAAATTTCCTTTTGCAGTTACCTCTCCCTGAAATGCTCTTCTCCCAGACATTTGAAGAACTGACCCCTTCAGTGCATAGCTAAAATGTGACCTCCTCATAGAAGCCTTCATCAATCATTCTATCTAATGTCACTCATTTCTCTATTTTACTTTCTTCATAGTGTATCAGTATCTGAAACAATTTACTTGTTTTTTTTTTCCTTCCACTAAGCTACAGTATAAATGTCGAGAGGTCAAGTGTTTTGAATATCTTATATACTTTTGATATATATATAATCACAGCATTTTAGAACGGTTTTTAGAACTTAGTACACATTCAACAAATGTTTACTCAAGGGATGGGTGAATGAGCAACCAAATGTCTCCAGAGCCCATGATTGTGCTTCTGCCCCGTGCTTGCTAGATGTGTTCTTTCTGCCACCAGGCCCACTGGAGAGGCACTGGCTGACCATAAACTATCCAATTTTGTATCTGGGACCCATACTATTCACTTTAAAAACAAACAAACATTTTTATTGATTTCAGAGAGGAAGGGAGAAGAAAGAGAGAGAAACATCAATGATGAGAATCATTGATCAGCTGCCTCCTGCACAACCTGCTAGGGATTGAGCCTGCAACCAAGGTACATGCCCTTGACCAGAATTGAACCTGTGAATTCTCAGTCTGTGGGCAATGCTCTAATCACTGAGCCAAACCAGCTAGGGCCTGATTCACTTTTAAAACAAAATATTTACTCTCCAAGAAAAGAAACCCGCAGATATTCTCTTTCTCATTCGTAAGGGTTCTTAATTATAACTACTCTTATTTAGTTCATAATATAGTAACTAAGATGTATGATTAAAAGTGAATATTTCTGATACATTACTTAGAATTTCACCTTTTCTCATTGCATTACTGTTGGCTGATTTTTGTAGGAGAGTGTTGGAATTGACATTTAAAAAACAAAACATTGTTCCAGGCCAGTTTCTGTTTTTTTAAAGCAACTTATTAAAAGTACCTAGTCTATCCAACAAATTAGTGAATTCATATTATCTCCATGTACAAAGAACAGTGCTGGGAGGGTAAATTCTTTCTCAAACTACATTTTCCTTTGTGGTTTCAGATTGGCCTTTTCAGAAGGGTAATTTTTCTTTGTCTTGGTAGAATCTGAGATGACTGACTTTGTCTCTAGCGTGCTAACCTCTTCTTTTCTCACTAGCCCATGTATCTGGGAATAGCTTGCTGACTAACTCCTAAGTTAGAGAAAGGCGGCCTGTGAAGGAATTTTAAGTACATTTCTCGGTGTCCTGTGAAGTTACATGATCTTAGCTGAGTTAATTAACTTTGTTAAAATTGTATAAAGGGATTCATATGATTCTAAATTACAGAAGAAGCAAAGCAATTTGAAAGCAACCTGCCCTTTACCTTGATCCCTACCTTCTCTGAAAACCATGGTGTAATGCCAACGAATAGAATAATGGTTGACGAGCAGAATTTTAAGGCATTCTAAATATCACTGGTTGGTTTAATAAAATTAATTAGCCTGCCACAGAGAAAATTTACTAGCGTGCTGGTTAATTTCACAATGTAAAGTCAGAGAAGGGAGGTGGGGTTGAGGGAACAAACCTTATTAGTTTTGAATAATTATTTAAAGATGTGGAGCAGCCTATTTCAAACACTTTGATTGCCAAATGCATTAAGACTTTAAATTCAGCATTTGTATCCTGGTATATAAGGAAAGGAATCTCTCTAGATGAAATCATAAGCATATCAGTTAACAGCTAAGTGACTTATTTAAGATACAGAACAACAAGAGGAATCCTAATAAAACCATGGGAATGAAAATTTGCCTTAAGACCAACTCTTGGGAGGTTTCCATAATCTTAATTTGCCATTGATGCAATTATTGCTCTTTCTTGTCTTTTTAATCCAAACAAGATGTTTGCAGTGGCCATGGAAAGGTGCCTAAAATCACATGGCTGAATTCATTTAATTTGCCAACATTGTCCTTTTTCTCTCTTTCTTCCTGGTAATGGGCAAGAGTCAGTTCTGGTGCATTAGGTACTAAATCTCTTCAATTACCAGCCGGGAAGAAAGATTTAAAAATGTGCTTTAAACCTACAAACTGATTTAGTTTTAAATCACATACACTTCTCCCGTGGAGCCTAAATTAAACTGCAGAAAGGACACAGAGCTCAAGAAATTGAACCGGGCGGGGCCAGGGCTCAGGCCAGCAATAGCAGCTAACCATTTTGGTTTCTTTTCCCAGAGCCCTAATGCAAAAGGAAAGAGACAGGACATGCTGAAAGACACACCTTGTACAAGAAAGGGCGATATTGTATTGTTTGGGAGCTAGGCACAGAATAAACGTTAGCATGGGGGAGTCTAATCAAAGCTGTTATTCTTTTTTCTCCCTTTTTGGGTGCTCGGCAGCCATTTTCAATGTGGATGACTCTGTGGTTGATCTGGAGACCCTGGCGGCCTTATATGAAAATGTGAGTATCAAAGCCATTCTGAGCAGGAGTTTTTATATTTCCATGTCTTTACTAATAAACAAACAAACAAATAAATAAATAAATAAATAAATAATAAAATATTAAGGTCTGAAAATAATGGTTACAAGTGACTCCATCCTGAAAAATTGCTGAGCCATGCATTCATGTTCTTTGGTGGTAAGCATTTTGGATGAGGTGAAGGCACAGAAAGAAATGTATGCAGAAGGCAGCCACTTGATGTTTCAATGTAAGCTCAAATAAGAGCAGACATGAGAAAAGCACAAGGTTTCTCACCTTCACTGTGGTATCTAAGTTAGGAGATCACTTTGCACACCAGCAAGGGAGGGTGGCTCAAGGTGGAGTCCACTTCTGTGCCGTGTAACTCAGCCCTGTGGCCTGCTATCAGAGTTAACGAAGGTAAGCTACTGACTCGATGTTGGTGTACACCAGTGTCTTCCTATGAGGAAGGGAAACACTAGTACCAGCCAGGAGGATTACTTTTAGTCCAAGTGAGCTGACAGTGTTGAATGTGGGGAGTAGCATAGGATGGTGAGTGTGTGTTCTGGATTTAGAATCAGACAGGTTTAGCTCTATCATTGACTGCTGAGCTACTTTGGGCCATTTAAATTCCTTAAGCCTGTCTGCTTATCAGTGCAACAAGAATTCTAATGTGCTCTACTTGATTTTATGAGCATTAAAAGATAATTCAATATATGTAGCAGTAGGAATGTATTTTGAAAACAAACAGCACTATACACATATATGGTCTTTAAATTTGGGCTGTATGTGGAAATAACGAGCACAATTACCGGTTTTCTGGACAGTTCCCTACACATTTTTATATCTTTTACATGTATCAAGAGTTGTCTAGTACTACTGGGTGGGAATTTCTCACGTTTCCATCAGTAAGGCTATCATTAAAACACAAGAAGGTGCACAAATACGAGGCCATCAGGAGCTGACATTCCTTTGTTGAGAGAGATTGCGAGTCAGTCTCTGTACCAGGTATTTCGTGGCTCCAGTGGAATCACCTATATAATGAGGATAAGTGGTTGTGTTAAAGGACTTCGCAGAAGGCAAAGTGCCTTTCTAATGCTTTTTGTTGTTACCCTGTGCTTGGAGCTGTATACATGGTCAGTACTTGTTAGCTCACAGTAGAGGTAAGCTGCATCCAACTGAAATAGTTGGATACATTGAAAAAGTGTGCAACTAAATGCCAAAATGAGCAGTATAAACAAGGAATGCTAAAAAAAAAAAAAAAAAAAAAAAAAAAAAAAAAAAAAAGTCAGAAGCCTATATAAGTTAGAGGGCTTTTGAGAGTCAGAAAGCAAATGCTAAGGACAACTTGACCCTTATCTGCTTATGGGCAAACAGAGAGAGGATTCAAAGGCAGCAGCCCAATGTCCTGGCTTCTATAATCAGCTGATATCACTTGTTATGACCATTTGCATTAGCCAGGGACTCTCAAACATTCGAATGCACCAGAATCACTTGGGAGGCTTGCTGGATCCCACCCCTAGAGTTTCTTAAATCTATGGTAGGGCCAAAATTTTGCATTTCTAACTAGTGACAAGTGGGACTGATGCTGCTGGTTCAAAGACCACACTTTGAGACATATTGCTTTAGACCAGCAATTTTCAACCAGCGTACCATGGCACACTGGCGTACTGTAAGAATTTTTTAAACATGCAATGCCTAACTATTTAGTCAGGGGCACTGACCTCTTTTTCCTTAGATTGTCAAGGGGAAAAAAAATGACAACAGCCAATACAACAATAGCCATCTGGTTTGAGTGAATCAAAATCATACCTGTTTCTTTTTGTCATATTGGCAAAAAAATATAGTTTTTTTGGTGTGCAGTAGAATTTTAGTAATTAGTTTATATGTGCTGGGAGATGAATTATTGCTTGATTCTCAGTGCTTATTATTTTGTTTGTGTTTTGTTCTGTTTCTTTTTTAACACAGAGAGCCCAAGAAGATGAATTGGTTAAAATAAGAAAGTATTATGAGACATCCAAAGAGGAAGAATTGAAGCTGCTGGACAAACCTGAGCAGTAAGGAGGCTTGAACACTTTTCTGTTGGGCCCCAGTGCAGCCCCTCTCTCCCTCCCTCCCAGCTCTGAGCAATCACCTCTAAGCTGTGCAGTGAGCTAAGCCTCAGCTCTGCCATGCCTCTGACCTATTGTCTGTAGCAGAATGACATGCCTGCTGGGAAAAGCACCAGGGAGATTTGTGCTGCTGGATAGAATATTTCTCAACCCCTCTCCCCACCCTCATGACTGCCCTTTCTCATTCTAGCAACTTATTAATTCCTCCTAGACTAAACATTCTGGCCAAAAGGGTAACTGAGGAAGGAAGAAGTCATTGCTCTGTTTAAGGTTTTGCTGATGCAGTTGAGAAGATATGTCGGAGCACAGCACTGAATTTGATTTTCCTAAGTGGCACATCCAGTAAACGCAGCCTGAATGTGTCAGCTTCCCCCCAGACTTCTCCACCTGCTCTGCCCAGTTTAGATGTGACTTTTTCATCCTCTCTTGGAGTGTGCTTTTCTCTCCATTCACTATCTAGTGTTTTGCTCTATAGTTTAGGGTGTCTGTCCACACCCTTTGAAAACCCAGAACTCTAATGTGTAACTGAGTGACTCTTGTCCTTGGCTGGGCACTTAGGTCTGCAAACCAGGGAGAAGCTCCTGCGGCACTGCAGCCCCCAGGTCCCACCAAAGACTCAAAGTCCAAACTTTGTGCACATTTGGGTCCAAAGCAGACACAGGGCTCCTTAGCCTATTGCTGTTTTGAGTGCTTCATATCCAATTCAGGCCACCTCTCTCAGCCTGGAGATGAGGCAAGGGAAACAAAGAGAGGAGTGATCAAGTTTAGGCTAATGAGTCAGCCCTGGAGGCATCTGAGGTTTGGTGGCTTGTACAGAAACCTTCCTGCCTTGCCCTTGGGTCCTTTAGAACAGCGGTTGCCAACCTTTCGGACCTCACTGACCACCGGTTGGCAACCGCTGCTCTAGAATGCATCTCTTCCCCTGGATGCCTGGGCTGAGGAGGGGATTTCTAGGGTTATTCAGTCATTAACAAACCTCCAGGATACTTTTGGGAACCTTAGGTGAATTGTTCTTACATAGGTCAGAACGCCCGGCCCCAGTTAGTCCATGAAGCCTAGTAGTGAATCGATGCAAACAGAGTTCCACTGGCCTTCTGCTCCACCAGCCTGAGCCATCCTCTTTATAAGCCCCCACTGCTGGGGAATTCCGTGGTCCACTCTCAAATCGTATTTCTTAATAAATAAACTAATCCCCACTAACGAGCTAATCACTGAAAAGTGAGTAATGATGGAATATTTGGACATTGACACAGCTTGGGGTGCTATTACAAAATACCCTAAACTGGTTAACTGATAAACAGCAGGAATTTATTTCTCACAGTTCTAGAGGCTGGAAGTCTAAGATCAGGATGTCCAGATAGGACTGCTGACTTCTCTTTGTATAATCACATAGTCGAAAGCAAAGAAAGGAAGCAAGCTCTTGTGTTTCTGGGCGTTAATTGCACTCTTGCAGGTTCTACCCTTGTGACCCCTCATCACTGGGGCAAAATATTTACTCCCTAACAAGGATAAGCTTTTGATTAGGGCCAACTATACCACCTTGAGCAATGATACTCTAAGCCTAGAGTTGTCAGATTTTTCCTGTAGGGAGCCAGATAGTAATTATTGTATTTTAGGCTTTGTGGGCCCTACGATCCATTGGAACTATTCAAGCCTGCTGTTGTAGTGCAAAAGCAACCACAGGCAATGCATAAATAAATGGGTGTGACTGTGTCCCAATAAAATTGTATTTACGGACACTGAGATTTTAACTTTATGTATTTTTCTACTGATGTTTTTCAAACATTCAAAATTGTTAAAGCCATTCTTAATTGATAGGCCATACAAAACAAGTGGTGGGCTGAATTTGGCTGAGGGCTGTTATTTTTAACACCTGCTCTAAGTTATGAGCATGGCCAACCCAGTGAAATGAATATTTGGTTTTTGTTACTGGGAGTATTTCCCTTTTCCTTTTGTGTTAATGCCTTTCTAGCATTAATTTTTTTAAGGTTAATTGCACACAATAATGGTGGCAGGTAATTAACATATTACTTTTTTTTTTAGATTTTTAAAATGATTTTTAGAGAAAGAAGAAGGGAGAGGAGGAGAGAGACAAATCAATCAGTTACTTCCTGCACACATCCCAGTGGGGAATCCCAGACGTGCCCTGACCTGGAATTGATTCAGTGACGCCTCAATTCCTAGAACGAGGCCTAACCAACTGAGCCACACCAGCCAGGGCTACATATACCTTACTATTCCTGCTTTCTCTCCTAATGATTTGGATAGAAGCCCATTTTTTAAAGTTTGTAATTGGTCACTGTAACAGCTTCCTGGACATGCTAAGGTGTGACTGACAGCAAAGAGGCCTGTGTGTTGTCCTGGTAAGGTGATGTGCCTGGGCTCAGTTGCTGGAGGGAAAGGCGCAGAGATGGGGAGTTCAGGCCTGAGTGAATGCCACCTTTGCTTTCTGTCTCCTGCACAGTACAGCGTTTGTTTGATCTATGCCAGAGTTTGATTTTCTGGCAACTCCTTTGCCATTAACTCCAAGTTAGTTGACTATACGCATATTGTGCATACTGGAAAATATGAAGTCTCGGCTTTACAATTTCCTAAGAACCATGTGATGCCCGGTCCTATAAATCATAGCACGGAGAGGCTGGCCTCATTACTCACCTCATCAGCTTTCTTGCACTCCAGTGCCAGGTTTAGAAAGCCATTTCCCATAAAGATGTCATCCACCTGGGATTCTTTGACTCTTTACAGTCTACCTTGGGCTGGGGAGGGGAGGTGGGGTGATGTGAGGTGAGATTTGGATTGATTAGGCCTGATGCAAGCTTTCTGTGGCCGAGTGAGGACACTATTTACAGCCTATCGGGATGCTCCACTAGGGCCCACGAGTGCCTTGGGAAGATACATGGATTCTGAAACAAGGCTCTGAGAGTGGAGTCTTCTATGGAAAAACACAGGTTACAACACGAAATGATGCTGTGTCCATGGCCCTGTGTGCTCACACACACTTAAGATAATACCATTCGGGGGATTAGGGCAGGATAAACCAAATGTTAGGTCCTTAAAGCCAATGGGCCACATTACCTCATTCCACCTCTCAGCTGAGTTGCTACTGTGGATGAGTAACCCACATGATGTGAGATGTAGAACTTCCCTCCTATATACAGGCTGAAAGTTTAGCTCTTCCTGGGAAAATAAGCATAACCTGGGGAAAGAAAGGCTTATTTGGGGAGGGCGGGTATGTAGTTCTATCTATTACTGACACTAGGGTGTAAACTTAGACAAGTCCAAAGGAAAGCAATCTATAAATAATCTTAAGTACCAAGACCCAAAGTCCAAACTCAGAGTTTTTATGGGTAGTGAATAAAACACAATTGGGGTATAAGATACTTATCAGATACTTGCTTCATAGCCATTGAGGTTACTTATGCTTCTGATATTTTCCCAGATAAATGGAAAAGGAGTATGGTGTGATTTCTGCAGGCTTTGCATGACTATTTTTAGACAGAATGTGACATAAAATCACACCCCCTCCATAAATTTGCTTTCCCATTATATCACATGTTCACATTCCACCAGGTATCCAAGTCAAAAACTTACAAGACATTGTGGACACTACTCAGAATCCTTTGCGATTGGTCAGTTACTCTGGTTCTTGCTGCCTTAGTAGCTTTCTCATGCACTTACCCTCTCCGTTCACACTGCAGGCCCTCCTGCCTTCCCTCTTAGAATATTGCAACTGAGGTTGTATAGGTCTTCCAGCCTCAGATCTGCTGTCATTCAGCCAACCCAGGGCCATTGTGATTTTCTAAAACAATAAGCTGAAATGGTCACTCCTCTATTTAAAACCCTACATTTATTTAGAAAGAGTTTAAACTTTTTAGAACATCATGCCCCATTTTAGCATCTGACTCCTCCTCAATTATTATGCAAGCTGTCTAGGCTCTGCACAGCACCAGAGAGAGCTCCAGGGAATCTTGGCTGACCCGGTCCCTCAGTGCTCTGACTTTGTGCCCTGCGTGTGGCTTCCGTAGTTCCTGTTATAGCCCCATCACTGAGTACACTTGTCACACTCCATAGAAATGTTGGTTTATTTCTCAGGCTATCAATGAGGTACTGTTTATGAAGTAAAATTCTGTCCTCAGCTCCTAGTATGGTGCCTGACACACTGTAAATGCTTCACATGCATCTGAGGACAGACCAAAATCAGTCTTGGTGACTGATGCTCTGGTATTTTCTGTGATGCATTTCCTACAGTTCTATCCAAAAATGTAAAATTCCTGAACTTCCTTTCCCCCTCCAACTCTGGATATATATCAGACCCTTCTCCATGCACAGCACATTGGCTCTGAGAGTCTGTCAGCCTTCCTGGTGCTAGCACGGATTCCAGGGAGCCTTAATCCAGACTGCCTTGCAGCTCTACTTTGCTCTCTTCTGTGCAATATAAGTCAGTGAGCCTCTGGGCTTGTCTTCTCATATTGGTCCCAATCCTCCTGTTATGAAACTAGATCATACATCCCGCTCTCCTTTTCATCTGTGTGTCCTTCTCGCTGAGGTCAGGTGTTGAGTCATATATTCTCCCACACCGTCTCTGTAAATGCTTCACTCCTGTGTTCATTTACTCTAGGAAGTGTGCACACACTGGGGATCAGGTCCTGCTTGTGCATAGCGTCTCAGGGTCACATTTGGAAGATGAAGGAATGCAGGGCACTCTCTTGAGGTAGCTCTCAGCAGCATCTGAGTAAATTTCCTGAGTCACCACAGTACCAAATGCCCCTGTCCCACAAGCTTTTTACTACTCATATTGGTGAAAACTGTTGATACCCCTAATTCCAGTATAAATAAATCAGTGGTTTAATACTAATTTTATTTTTTAAAAAAACACAATTTATATAAACATATAATTTCTTCATCTTGTCCTAATGAGAAATCATATGGGTTTTATATCCATTACATGATTTTCATAATAATACATTACAGAAATTTAAAGCACAGGTGTGGTTTCTTTATGCGTTTTCTTTACCTCATCCCAGCGTAATTTAAAAACAAAAAAGAAGAGGAGCCCTGGCTGGTGTGGCTCAGTTGGGTGTTGTTCTGTGCACCAAGGGGTCCCTGGTTCAATTCCCGTTCGGGGCGCATGCCCAGATTGTGGCTTAGAACCCTGGTGGGAAGCGTGTAGGGGGCAGTCAACAGATGTCTCGCTCTAGCCTTGAGGTTTTTCTCTCTCTGCCCCTTTCCTTCCTCTCTCTCTAAAAGTCAATAAAAATCTTTAAAATCAATAAGAAGAGTTGTCTTAGAAGATTGAATATAGAAAGTCCACTCAAGAAAAGAATTTTTAAAGAAGATATTACATGGTTGTGGGATAAATAAGAAAAACAGCTGATAATTAGAATCTTATTAACACCCAGCGCTCCCTAAAATAAAGTAAAAGAGGCACTGAGTGTTAGGAAAGGGAATTGCTTTGGGAATGGAAAGAAGGAGGGCCCAGCTTCGCAAGCATTCTTGGGCAGAGATTGCAAAATGTCAAAGTAATGATGTTATGAGTTGACTGAGGCTTTCAGAAATATCAGGTAATAATCATTTCGACCCCAAAATGAATTTAATTGCTGTTAGTGGATTCTCTCCTTTTCTGAATTCACGTCCAACTCTTTCCACCCGTTTAGTTTTATGCCCCTTCCTCTGGTGGTTGGCCGGGAGAGTATGTAGTTCTTAATTTTGCAAAGGGCACCGGGCAACTTCTCAGACAGTGAGCTTTTGTGTGTAGGTTAGTACTCGCCTTTAGCTTTAAGATCTGCCTTGCCGCAGTTTTTAAGCAGCTTTAGGTTGTGTCCACTTAATGAGTGCTGCTTTGTTCTAAGCACTGATCTCTGAGCTCTGTTTATATAAGTAAGTTGATGTGGAAGAGTAACCAAATCTCTGTAGAATAGTGATCTGTAGAATAGGGACATTATCTAATTTATTAAGCAAAAATCTCACTTCAGTAAGAGATTCTGTAACACTTGTCTCCAGTACTCACTTTTCTCAGCCTGTATAAATATATACTTAGAGAATGCTGCATTATACAGCAAGTGTATTGTATGTATTTTTTTCATACACTAAAGACTTAACACTTCTCATTTGGCAATTTATATACCAGACATTTATTTTTTAATTATGTATCTTATTGATTTCAGAGAGGAAGAGAAAGAGTGAGAGAAACATCAATGATGAGAAAGAATCATTGATTGACTACCTCCTTCACACCCTATACTGGGGATCAAGCCCACAACCCAGGCATGTGCCCTGACTGGGAATCGAACCATGACCTCCTGGTTCATAGGTGGACATTCAGCCACTGAGCTATGCTGGCTGGCCACTATGCATTTATTTACTATCATAAAAACCCATTTAAGAAAAAAAGTGGCTTTGTTATCAACAGTAGAACACATCATCTTACAGTCGCTTAAGTTAGCCTGGTACCTTTTAAATTTGTTAAATTAATTGTCAAATAAGGAATGCTCTCATGATGGATCTTTTCCAGCTGTCTTTTTACTTTCCTTATGATTTTTATATGAAGCTAGATGATTCCTTCTTAATTTTTACAGATTTTTACATGAGTTAGCCCAGATCCCTAATTTTGCTGAGCGTGCTCAGTGCATCATCTTCAGATCTGTCTTTTCCGAAGGCATCACCTCCTTGCATCGAAAGGTAGAGATCATCACACGAGCTTCTAAGGTATGTTGCTGTCTAATTTAAAAAGACAAATTTGTCCTTATTAGGAGTAAAGGAGGAAGCTGGCAGTGGGAGGGATCAGCTAGAGTCCCTTTGCAAAAACTTTTTGGGTTTAAGATTGTGTGTTTTTCTAAGTGTAGCTGTGACTATTATCCTGCCTAAGTGTGAGTATGTGTGTGCATGCAGATGAAGTGCGAGAGAGAGAGGGGGAGAGAAAAGGAGAGAACTGTGTGTGTGTGGTTCGGGGGGGGATTGCATTCTTACAAATTTCTTCTCAAATATTCTAAACACCTTCCAATGTACATACTGGCCATTTAATACCAACCCAAATAGTATAGTTTATTTTTCACTTGACTGTCTGGATTAAAAAAGCGGTTTTGCCTCAGGCCCATGAATTTGATCATCTGAAATGTGCTACCTAGTGAAATAAAAAGATTCTAGAGATTTGTTAAAGGAAACAAATGATTATGATAATGAATGATGAGCAAATAAATTTTTGTTGGCTTTACCACATTGGTATTCATTATAAAGTTAAATTCTAGCACTTGGCTTTTTCTCCCAAAGACCCATGTCCTTAAGAACACTCTCCACATGTACTGTAGCTTTTAGTTTAATACTTAGTTACTTATCTGAAGGCATTATTTTTTTTCTAAAATATAAAAGATTTCAATAAGGAAAGCATATATATACCAAAGTATGATATATACCCTTTAATAGTGCTCAGAGAGTCAGGATCAGAAGTCAGCCTAGAGCTGCATTTGGCTTTCTTTCCCCTAAAATAAAAGAAAAATAAAGCCAACTAAGACTATAGAGAAAGGGGAAAAGTATCTATTTGGAAGTGTGCACTTGAAGGAGAGAGAGAGAGAGAGAGAGAGGACACAAATGAAATAGGGAGCGAAGTCTAAGCAGCTTGAAATGATAACACTGAATAGACATATCAGCAAACACTTACTACAGGTAGCTTCTGGCCTTGAACTACATGATTGTAGTTCACCTCTGAGGTTTAAGAAGAAGAATTGACTTGTTATTATAACTACCCTACACTTAACTGTACGGTTTCAGGGGTCTTCAAACTACGGCCCGCGGGCCACATGCGGCCCGCAGAGGAGTCTGATCCGGCCCGCCAGGTTTTTTGGGCAGTGAGCGCAGCCGAGGTGTTACAGTAGGAATTAGTAGTTCATATAGTCCGGCCCTCCAGCTCTCTGAGGGACCGTGATCTGGCCCCCACTTTAAAAAGTTTGAGGACCCCTGAATAGTCCAAAAAGAGATCTTCAAATGATATTAAACCACTTTCTACTTGCAAGTCATCGAATGTGAAGCCTAGCTATAACAGCTCTTTCCTCGATTTATAAATACTTTCAAGTATTTTCAAAATAAAACTGGCTCAAATGGAAATGTAAATACTAATATTTAACCCACACAGATTGTCATTCATTGAAAGGATAGGAAATGATGACTCTTATGTATTTTTTAAAAGACACTTTTGGTTTAAAGTGTATTTTCCATCTTGCTAACTATTAATTCTGTTGGTAACATGCCACCAAACAGCCAATTGGGTTCTCAGTAAATATTTGTTGTTGAATGGACATAGTTATATTTGGAGTTCAGCTGCATAATAATTGGTATTTATCGTTACAGGGCTTGCTGAACATGAAAAGTGTGAAGGATATTTTAGCTCTCATTCTGGCTTTTGGAAATTACATGAATGGAGGAAATAGGACTCGGGGACAAGCAGATGGATACAGCTTAGAAATTCTGCCCAAACTCAAGGATGTCAAAAGTCGGGTATTTATTTGTTTTGTAATAAATGTCTATGATCTGCCATTATTTTTCTTATATTCCTTTAATTAAAAAAAATATATTTCTGATTGTTCCATTTATCTCCATTTTCCTCATAACAATATACTTTTCCTTTGACTTTGGAATAAAATAGCTTTTTGTTTTTAATGTTTGATCTTATTTTGATGTCAAAATTCCCACTACATATTTGTTTGCTCTAAAATGCAGTTAGATGTTGAATTGCAGTGAGAGAATAAAACAGATAGCATATGGTATTAGCCATAGCACAGGCTTGAATTTATTGTTGACCACTTGTAATTTATTCATTCCTGTGGAGGGACCAATGTTGAATCACCAGTTGAGCTGAGCGTTTGACTTATTCTTTTGCCCACAACAATAAGGCTAGAGGTTAACTGTCAAACTCTCTGAGCTTGATTATCATTTGGCTCCACACCCCTGCAGAGCCACCTCTTTAGAAACAACCAGCCATACCTAGGCATCCTATGTGGGGGCAGTGGGAGTGGAGGGAGGGGAAACATAGAGGCAAATTAGAATTAGATCCATGTGAACAAGACTCAAAGGCTGCCTTGTAGGAGGGCCTGGCCTCCCAGGGTCATAAAGTGGCATGGCATTCCTTTTAAGCTGTCCTGATTGTTTTTCACACCATTAAGAACACACATCTTTTGAAAGGTGGGAAGGGAGGGATGGTTTTCTGTTCTAGTCCCTGATTCCCTTTAGCACTCCCTGCCCCCTCCTGTCTTGGTTTATGCCAGAAAATATAGAGACACCATTTTATTTATTTATTTATTTAGTTAGTTAGTTTGTTTGTTTGTTTGTTTTAGCCATGACCTCAGAGGTCTTATGGATTATTTGTAGGTTTTTTTTTTACTCCACAAAGAGCAGTATAGTGTCATTTCTTTGCATGGATACCATAAAAAATGGATGCGACAAGGAGGAGAGAGAGAAATATTGCCGGTCTCAGAATTAGGGCCAGGTATCACAAACTAAAAGTGTTAAATGTCAAAAACTAAGATTTTTGGATCTCCGCTGTATAATACAGCAAAGTCTCATATGAATGATTTTCATTTAAGCTTCTCTTTTAAACCTAGGATAATGGGATTAATCTGGTGGACTATGTCGTGAAATACTACCTGCGTTACTATGATCAGGTAAGAAATGCCATTATGTGGAAAACTACACAAATGGGGCTTCAACTCTTACACGTTGTTGGCATTCAGCAATCGGATGATGGATGGATGGATGGATGGATTTCAAGTCCAACATAGAATCTGAGAGCTAGCCAGCCTCCTTGGTTTATGGATGGAAACACTGAAGCCAAGAGTGTTTCACAGACTCTTGTGAAGAGAAGCTCTATTTGGTGGTACAGGTCTACTGACTCTCACTCCGCTGTGTGACACAGCTTTGGAGAGACCCCCAGTACCCTACTGCCTTCTGACCAGGCTGCCAGGGCCTTTGTGAAGTCTATATCCATTCAGTAAGTGGTTATATTTGAAACTAGATTCTGGGATGCAGACCAAAATTTAGGAAATTAATATTCAGTAATGCCCAATACATTCTCAGTAAATGTTCATCTGGGAACAAGTTGCAGATGTGGAATTTGAAATCCCTTCTCTTTGCTTAAATTACATTTGCAATTAGAAATAACGTTTTCTGTGAGAATCTACCTGAGCATAATTTTCTGTATTTTATTCCTCCTCATTAAATTGAGAACAAGGAGTCCTAGCTTTGAGAAGAAAGAGGTACTGTTGTAAGATGTTGAGAAATCTAGCAATCAAGATGAATGGAAAAAGTCTCCGGAAAATGTTGTCAGGACTCCTGCTTAACTATCCATGGAAGCAGAGTTTTTCCTAGGTACTGAGGGAAGGAAAGTTAAAGATGCCAGAGCCTTAGTTTTAAGAGGCCTACAATTTCGTCCAGACGACCAGCTAAGCACTGATGAGGTTTCTAGTTCCCTTTCTTGCCCTCCTGGTGAGTTTATCTAACTGTTCTCAATATATCTACAACCAGGATTCTCATCCCACCCCACCCCTCAACTTCTCCCCTGTTTCTATTAAAGATATTATAATTTTGGTCATTTAGACAAGAAATTGTGCTTCTCTTTGGTTGATCTCTGTCCTTCAATTCAAATTGTCTGTTGTGTTCTTCCCTGGTTTCTATCGTAAGTGACCCCAGCCCATTCAGGCTTTAAGATAACTCACCCAGGGGAATTTTGATTTCCCGGCTGACCTTCTTACCATTCTAGTCTATCCCATAGCCTTCGGCCTGATTACATTTTATAGTTCTGATCATTTTACATCACTTTTTTACTCTAAAACAAAATGGCTCCCCTTTTTCAAGTGAATTAAGACTCTATCCAATTTAATGCCAGTGTTTTACAACCAGATTTATTACTTTCCCTCTGTGCACATTCTATGCTTCAACTCAAGACTTGATGTTTTCCAAACACACCCTGTGCTTTCTTCCTGATGTGTTTTTACATCTGATTTTCTCCCTAATTGGAATTATTCTTGTCACTAGCCTTTTTATAAGACTTCTCTTTTTTCTTATGAATATCTCTTAAAATACCTTTTTTGGGGGGAAAGCTTCCATTAATATAAATATATATATTGAGCTCTTCAAAATCAATTAGCAAAAATCATCTTATTCCTTCTCATTTAAAAAAAAAAAAGGTGGCAAAACAAACTGCAGGTAACCACAGAAAACAAATAGAAGATATAAATTGCCAACTGTATGTATAGAATTAGCAATCTATACTGATCCAACTTTTCTCAGGTCTGTCTTGAATGGTTGACTGAGTTCCTATCTGTTTAAGATCTGTAGGTCAAATGAGACCCTTATCTGGTTTGCTCTGGATTCACTGAGCTATATGTCCATATGGGTATCTTGAAAAAATTTCACATCATGTGCTTGTCAAGCTGTTTTACCAGAGAGCTGTGCCTGCTTGCAGGGAACCCCTTTTCCTAATTCAGATGCGCTATATGGGCTAGTGAGACTTTGACCTTTTTGTATTTGAAACACTATGAATATGTGTAATATTATACATATTTCTAAGGGTTTTTATCCTTAGGAAAAAATTAAGGTCATGTATCACTATATTATTTTAAGTAATTTGTAGTAGCAAAATATCACAGAATTTTTTAGTAGGTGTCCAAAGGTAGACACTAAGGTCAAATAAATTATGCTAGAATCATAAAATGGAATACACTACCATGGAAAGTGTCTAAGAGAATGTTTACTAGCATTGGAAAAACGCTCTTGATCTGCTTTTAAATTACAAATGTGTTTAGAATAATATATACTATTGTATAATCTGCAATATGTAAATATAAATACACACAAACACCCAGAAATATCTGGAAAGATCTATATTAAAATGTTTGATTATTTATGGATAGAATTGTAAACAAAGGAAAGAATTGTAAGAGATTTTTACTTTCTTCTTCCTTTTAATTACTAAACCTAATGAACATGTGTCACTTTTGTAAAAGGAGAAAAAGATATAATAAAAAATATTGCAATCTTACATGACCCTTCTTCCAAGAGGGTTTTGCTCAGTTCCTTGTCTTTTAATTGTTTTAAGCCCAGGAACACTTTGTTTGCATAACTCACTTAAAATATGTTTTCTACCTCATCTGCAGATATCAATGAGCAATACCATTGCCCTGGTATTGCTTCCTGAGATCCAGAACTCATTATCTCTTTCTAGTGTCTGTAATGTAGGTGCCTGATAAATACTTGCTGAGTTGTATGTTCTGCAAATATTGACAAGAATGTAATAAAGGCATCTGTAAAGAATTAGGTATGAGGAGGTGAAAGCTAATTTCTGGTAGAGTGGGGAAGTATATTGCTTCAGGCAATATGTACGTACCCCAAGTTCTGGCAACAGGTACCGGTGTGGCAGAAGCATTCTGAGAAGTGACCTTTCTAATCCCAGGTTGACGTGAGCAGATATACCTCCTGGTGTCTGATACATTGTGTAGGAAGACTGAGATTTTCCTATGATATATGGCTCCCATTGAAGAAAGACAAACCCAGTGAAATCAGCTTTCCAGAGGAAAATCTTACCGTAAGAATAGTTTCAAACTTGGAATGGTCCAGCTTAGGAAAAACAAGAAGTCAACATTCGTGTGGTCCTCGCCTAGTTTTCACTGTGCAGAATGCATTTCACTCAACAAGAGCGAAGAATTGTGTGATTTATTAAACGATCCTCTCCCTTTAGGAGCATATGTGATGATTTCTGTGGTTAGTAGTGATGAGCAATTAGCTGAAGAAAGGTGACTTCTGTTCCAGGCTTTCTTCCACTCATGCCAGGTTTTGGGTCCAAGTCTAGGTCTGTGAAGTTTAAAGAAACCCATCTAGAGCCATGTCTTTTGAACTCTAATTGAGCAAATTTCACAAGAACTACTACCAGGCTGATTGGCTCAGGAGCATTTTCTCAATTAAAAAAAAGAAAAATGAAGCCGGACTGAGTTTGATAAAAAGTTTTGGAAAATAGAAAGAGATATTATTCATGAGTCCTTCCAGTGTAGATCACCATGGAGTTTTGTGGCAAGCGTCTTAGATGTCGTTCTATCTTGGCACTCAGGCTTGATACTGCTTCCATGGTAGTTAAAGTAGTAATAAGTATAGGACGATGAAAAAAGTTCATTGATCATGTAAAATATTGTCCTATGCACATGAGGAGAACCACCTTCTTTTAGCATCCCAAGTAAAGCTAAAGGTCTTAAAGAAAGGGGAAGAGTCAAGGGAATTCCTGAAACCACAAGAAAATATGAAGAAGGTAAGTTAGATGTCTCCTGCTGAAGGTACTTATTTCCCAGAACAGTGTTTTGTAGCTCCTCTGTGATGTTTCCAAACAGAATTTATTGAGAGGCCAGAGGTTACATTCTATATGGAGAACAAGGCACAGTGCCTGCCTTCTTGTCTAGTAGGGAAGACGTACAAACTTACAGGAAATTTATAAATTAATGTTGGTAAGTGCTGTGGGAATGGTAAATACAAGGGGCTCTTGGAAACACCAAGAGTTGGTTGCTGGGACTTAAGGGGAATCTTTGAGGAAGTGATATCTGTTTTGAGATTTGAAGGATGAGTGTGAATAAGGAGATATGAGGACGTTCTGGGGAAGGGTTGGTTTCATAGAAAAGTTTTACAAAAGCCTAGAGGCAAGAGACCATGACCTGTCCTATTTTTATTTTTTTTTATGAAAGTTGGAAAAGGGAGTTAGAAATAGGGGGAAGGTAGAAATAAGGCTGGAGATGTAGACAGAGACCAGATCATAAAGTGCCTTATAAAGCAGTTTTAGAGTCTGGAACCAGTCCTAATAGCAGTAGGAAAAATGGAATGTGAAGGAAAGCTGGCAAAGTAGCCTATGTGGAGAGACCTGAGAATTGTCTGAGATGAGCAAGATACGAAGCTACATTAAACAACCCAGGAAGAAGCCAGATAGACTGGAAAAGAAATTGGAGACTCAGCTTATCTCTCAATGTGCCTGATGAACGTTTTGTCCCTTAAGATGTTTCTTAGCTCATGTCTTTGAGGGATAGTTGTGGGACTTGTCAAAAACTATACCCAGTCATGTCCACATTAAATATGTGGTAAGAGTACCCAAACAACATTTGGAAAATTTTTACAAATATGTGAAGGAAGAATTCAACCCCCCTACACACACACACACACACACACACACACACACACACACACACGTGTACATGCATGCTTTAAGATGCAGAGGAAGGTAGGTAAAAGTGTAAGGCAGAGTGATTGTTTCTTCCATTGCAGTGTTATCTTACTCAGTACCTTCCAATTCGCACCCATTGGCAGACCTCAACGATGAGTTTCTAATTGCTACCATATGCAACCCATACAGGGACTTTTAATTTAAATACTTTCATGTGTTCCTCCTATGCCCTTTTCCATGGACATAGAGTGCTCAAGATCAGGACATAACTGACAATTTTCTCTTTTATTCATGAGGCAAAATGGAACCTCACCCATGCCATAGCCAATCTAAATGCCAGTATGAACAAAAGGATTTTGTGAAAGACACCAAAGCACTTCAAAGTAACCAGTCCAAACTGAGGAACTCCAGAGGAATGTTGCTGCGATGTTTATTCAAACATTCAATAAGAAATGCTTTGGAATTCCAACTGAAAGTGACTATTGGGAAGTATAATGTGCTTTTCTCCACCATGTCTTTCAGGAAGCAGGAACAGAAAAGAGTGTTTTCCCCCTGCCTGAACCACAAGATTTCTTTCTGGCTTCCCAGGTCAAGTTTGAAGACCTCATCAAAGACTTGAGAAAACTGAAGAGGCAACTGGAAGGTAACGGGAACTGTTCTGTTATGATAATAGCTAAGAGTTTTTAAAAATGATTTAAGAGGATTATTTGTGTGTGGCTCATGGAATGGAATGGGTGCAGAATTCAGCTAAGGTATGCTACAACCCTTACGAAGTGTTCCATCTCTAGGCATTTTTTGGAGACACTGGACTTACATATATCTCTCTCTTTTACTAGTGTTAGTACTTGTTTTATCCACATTTCCCAAAATATAATAGATATAACTTTAATAATAATAATAATATTAACAACCCCAACCCTTTACTGGATGCTTACTGGGGTCTCATATAATTCTTATAACAAACCTAATAAGCAGGAACTATACTAACTTTCTTTTTACAGATAAGAAAAATGAGGCTTGGAGAAGTTATGTTCACACAGGCTGTGCAAACAGACTTAATGAATTCTATCTGATTAAAACTTATGCATTTTCTAAACAAGTTTACTATGCTGCCTTCTCTCTCTCCAGCTCCCTCTTCCCTCTTTGCTCCCATGCCCTCTCCCTCTTCTTGTCATACACATGCTTGTGCGTGTGTGCGTGCACACACACACACACACACACACACACACACGTGTTCCTATATATTTGGTTTATATATATATATGAGTCTAATAAGGATGGCAAGACATTCTATTTTCATTTATTTTACATTTTTTAATTATTCAAAGCAAGATTCTAAAAGCCCTTTGGGCTTTTTTAAAAGGTGAAAATATGCTTCTCTTGGGCAGGAATTTTCCTTTGGCATTACGAGAGTCTTGTGTTTTCACTGTGGAGACATCTCCTTGTCCAAGAATATAAATACTTGCGCTGGAGCATTTGTAGCTCCAACTGAAGAGCTCTGTGGAGGATTTAGGGAGCGTGTTAATGTGGAAATGGAGCCCAGAGTGCCAAAAGGCGAGCTTGAGGAAATGAAGAGCTTGAACCAGGAATATTTTTACACTAAGACATAAAATAAACATTCAAAAAATGTTTATTGTGAAAGAGTGCTCAGAAACCCAAGTCTTAGACAGAGAACAGCTTGGACTGGAAGTGAAGGGGCAAGGTCTGCTTGGAGTGGCAGGGAAAACCATTTGTTTTTACTTTGGGCATAAACTTGCTTAAATAAGGACAGTGGTTACAAGTGAATATTTTTACCTTGTAAATTATTTTTAAAGGAACATGTGGACTTTTTCCGCCTCTGGTTGATGTGGTTGAGAGCGTGAATTCAACCAAATGAATGCTTTGTTGAGGAATGCAATATGTGGACTTGTGGTTATTCTATTCCGTTTCCTAAAAAAATAAAATAGAATAAAAAAATGACAGTTTTGTTCTTGTCTAACATGAGGAGCTTGATTCTTACTTGAGCAAAGCAGAGTAAGCCATCATGGAGCAGTTTCCTCTGTCCCTCTCCAGGTATGGAATTAGGATCCAGACCAGGCCCCAGGATGGCTGCAGGTGAGCAGTGGCAGCAAAGACCCATATTTGTTCACTACTCAGCTACCCCTGAAGACCCATCCCCCAGCTCTTGGCCCCTTTGACAGCCTGGGCCCGCTTGCTCCTCTTGTCTTTTAAACAGAAGCCTGATCTGCATGTGATCTTTCCTCCTCCCCGGCCTTCTTTCCAGGGACTTCCTCTTTAAGGCATCCTGGTTCGGCACCTTCCTTAGACACCCTAGACACCCGTGCGTTTGATGATAAGTAACAAAGGGATGAGAAGAGTAAATGAGGGAGACAGTGGACAGGCAGGGGTTCCCCAAAGCTCCCCACATTGGTGTCTCTTATTCTCTCTAAGGAAATCCTAGCTGTCATTGCAGATCTCAGTACTCAACCGACACTTTTCTCAGTCCATTTTAAGGAGATATCAAACTTCTGCAGCTGGAGGGGCTGCCCTGGGAAGGAAAGCAGATCATCACAGTTATTTTTCTTCTTTGTATTGGACTTCACCAAGCAAGTACCATAAAGGCGACTGAAGAAACTAGGACTCCCCCACACACATTGAATATTTAAACAAAAAAAATCCCTGCTAATCTTGAGGGATGCCAGTGTTTTTAACACATGAAAGGTACCTAGTAAATATTTAAAGAAAATACAGGCCGTTGGTTCTCTAATGAATTTCTTTTTCTTCTAAATACCATCTGGCAAGATGGCCAGAGTCGTGGCGGTCCGTTTCATCTCCCGTCCCCATTCAGGTTTCACCGCCTTTCCCATAAGGCCGTGGTGTGAGCCTAGATTGAATGTTTAATTGAAGAGGACATAATTTTCACACATACAGCAAAGATTTGATGAGGCTTTGAGGTTTATTGTAGCCATTAAAATGTCGTGGCTGCTGGCAAAACCCCAGAAAATGTCTAAAGCTAAACCAGATGTGATTAGCAAATTTCAAGAAGTCTCAAGCCCCGGTTCTCCCGGCAGTCGTGGCCCTTTAGGAGAACTTTGTTTTGAGTAGCCTGAACCACACCTTAATCATAGTAGGAGAATGAAATTAGGATTGTTGGCTGGACAAATGTCACTGACTTAAGTAGAGGTTTTCAATAAGCATGTTTCATAGAGACAAGAACTTTGAATAGCACTCTTTTCCGGTGTATAAGACGACCCCCTAATTTTACAAACATAGGTTAGGCCTATATTCGCTGTATAAGACTACCCCCCACTTCAAAGAAAAGACTTACTTTGCTGTCAAGATCTGCAGGTAATTTTTGTGCAATTTTGGTTTTTTGCCCCCGATTTTCGGTTGACTTTTTTTCATTTCAAAAGTCATCTTATACGCCGGAAAATACAGTATGTTGGTAAACACTGCAAGGAATTGATGACAGTAATATCAACTTCAGTTTATTGCATTATACAATAATAATACATTATTGTTATCTATCAGGTGCTTTGCATATATCATTTCTTGAATCCTTACAATGACCATCTGAAGCAGATATTATTACCAATCTCTCATAAGAGGAGGAAAATGAAGTTAATGGTGCTCATGTAACATGCTAAATTACTTCACAGGTGACAACCTAGCTACATTTTAAAACTAGATGTGACTTTAAGCCATGTGCTAATGACATATCCTGCCAGTGGCCCAGCAGTCTCTATACCTTATCATGGATCAAAACAGAAAGGCATATATATAATCAAGGCATTAGGACTCATAAAAATACAGAAAGAGTATCACTGAACATGTGCATGAATACAACTGTATCTATTCATACTCCTGGAATCATATAAGGAAACTCTTGGGTTGGGGATAAAAGAGGGAGGATCTGTGGAAGAGATGGGTTATAAAAGTGAATAGACACAGTATTGCATAAGATTAAGACCTCAGGCTTTGGAATCAGATGCATTTTTTACCGGTTTGGTGAAAGTAGGATCTTGTCAAGTAACAACCATAGAGTGTATTAATTTCTCACTCACAAAATGGGGCAATTATAGTACATACATCATAGGAGGTCATGAATGCACACTGACTGAGTAAGGAAAGCTTTAATAAAGCCGACTGGGGGTATGTGAGTACCTCTTACTGGAAAATGCACAACTTGTAGAATCAGGCCCATAATGTTGGTCAGCCAGCTGGCTGTTTATGGAGAATTGAATTCCCAGAGCACTGTACACTCTTCTCTGCATTGTGGAAACAGAACCAAGTTCTTGGTGCTTGGGAACATGTTCCAAATTTTGTTCACTGTTCTACAGCCCTTAATGAGATGATAATTTTGATTTTCCTGATATAAGTAATATTTGGGGGAAATCCAGCAAGCAGTAGGAATAGTTGCTCTCTTTCATACTTGTCAACCTTGCTGGCCAAAATTTTGAAAGTATGATTATCAACCTATGTGGTGGTAGACAGAATAATGGCTCCCAAAGGTGTCCAAACCCTAATTGTGGAATCTGTGAACATGCTACCTTACATGGCAAAAAGGGACTTTACTGACACTGAGATGGGGAGATTAACCTAGACTAGCCAAGTGCACCTAATCTAATCACATGGATCTTTAAAAGTTGGGAACTCCTTGTCTGTGGTCAGCAGGAGGTAGTACAGTAGAATGATCAGAGAGATGTGATGTTGCTGGCTTTGAAGATGGAGAAAGTGGGCAATGAACCAAAGAATGCAGGAAGCCTCCAAAATTGGGAAAGGCAAGAAATAGATTCTCCCTAGAGCCTCCAGAGGGGTTGCAGCCTGTCAGCACCTTGATTTCAGCCCAGTGAGACCCTGGTTAGACTTCTAACATATGGGAACTATATGTAATATATTCATGTTGTTTTAAGATACTTAAGTTTGTGGCAATTTGTTATAGTAGCAATAGAAAACAAACACACCAAAGGTGCGTTTCTGATTGTGTCAGTTGATACCAGTCACACACACACACACACACACAGATGTTGAGGCAATAGATGTGGGATTTCCCAGGTACTAGTGCTCACCAGTACTGCAGAAAGTGTGAATAGTGCTTTCTAAAGAAAGAGTGGCTAGTCCGATAAACCTGGAAATATGCTCTATCCTGAAATCACATCATAGTAATTCACAGTGCACATGAGCTTATTAAAGATTTTAGGAAGTTCTGCAATTAAAAAAAGAACACACACACACAAAAACCACAATTTATCCCTTTTTAAAGCAACATTTCTCAACTTAAAATATGAAACATTGTGTGTATATGTATGTTTTGTGTGTTTTTTTCTTTCACTAAATACTTAGTAATATGTTGCAGAACATGCATTCTGTGAAATATAGCTTAAGAAACGATGTTGACTATCAAGTTTTTAATATAAAGACACAACTATTTATTAAAGTGTCATTCCTGGATGACCTTAACAGGAGGAGCTCTGATAAACAATTGTGCTCTTTGCCCATTAATGTTGCTCTTAATCCTCCCTGACCACACTGTCCTTAGCTGTCATCCATGTAAACAGTGTGGGTCGCATCCTCTTGGAAGTGTTGATGCCTGAAAGCCAAAATGAATAGCCCTAGTGTTACTCAAAATTACTCTAGTGTCACCACTCCCAAATCCACATTTGT